AGTCTCCATCAGTTTCATACGTGCAGATTTTATCGTGAAGATGCCACTCTTTTTCGAAGGCCAAACTATTTTACCTGAGCCCTCCCCTATTAGAAAACGATTGAGTCTTTGAACCAACCTCACCGAGCTGTCAAATTCTCATTCTAAAAGACCTCTTTGAAACCCCAAATCCCTCCAGCAGCCTTCTATCGTAGCATTCTGTTTGAGGGAGATGGCCAAAAAATCTGGAAAATCCTATGCCAACATTGTAGCACCATTCCTCTTATCAAGCCAAAATTGAATTCTTCCACCTTGGCTTGCTATAAACGACATCCCTTCAAGAAAGGAAGAGCACGATTTGGCAATATCAAACCATGGCCATCCTCTAGCTTTACCTTTAGGGTCTCGTGGCAGCCAACCATGAGGATCTACCCCATAATGCTAGCTTTTTTGAAATGCATCTTAGGCTCCTCCAGTGTATTTCGAAATGTGAGGTGCATTTAAGCGCAATAGTCATGGGCTTAAGCTCGATCAAAAAATGTAAATAATTTTTTATATATGAAAAATTTGTATTATGAATTATAAGATAACAAACAGTTTAAGAAATTAGATATTTTGAAAAGGATCGTGGAGAAAATGAACATTTTTAAAGAATATATCTTAGTTTTTTGGTAAAAGAATGAAAAATAAACAGAGTTTTAGGCATTGAGGCGTGTGCCAGAAGCAAGGTGCCTAGGAGGACTGTCTACGTGCACTTCTTTAATCATTGGGCTCCTCCACCTCAGGCATAATGATTTTGAAATTTCACCAAAAATGTTTGAGAATCTTACCAATCATCTTCCCAAAATTTAACCAGCAAGCTAACATCTTATTTGAACCGTGAATATTCTACTACCAACCTCTTCTATCATTGTTATATTCCAAGGACCATAATTGCTTCCCCCTTTTTTTCCCATAGTGAACCACTCATCCTCCTTACTTCCATATATATTAGAAACTACTTGTCGAATCTGATTGGATAATCGAAGAATTGCCAAACCCATTTTGCTGTAAGTGCACGATTTCTTTCCCTCAAATTGCCAATTCCTAAACCTTCAAAGATCAATAGGTAGAGACACCACATTCCAATACATTCCAATCTGATTGGATGTCTAACCTTTCCATCAGAAAAACCATCCTACAAGAAATTCTTTAGCTTTCTTTCCAAACGTACCACCACTTTTCTAGGATGGGAAAACTTGATAGGTAAATATGTAGGGCGGCTTCACAAAGGGTCAATCTTCCAAATTTTGCTTATACAAGACATTTCCCTCCACCAGTTTCCAAAATTGCAACCTCATTGAATTATCAACCAAATACATTTCTAGTTTGAAAATCTGCAAATTACTAGATGACCACAAATGATTTCGAAAACCACGAACAACTCAGGTTGCAAACTCAGACGGTGACAATAACCGGAAGGATTATGGTTCCACTGCCAGAAGTAGAGTGTGCCATTCCAGGATGGCAGCTAGGGTCTATATGGCTGTTTTTTAGAGGTAGCTAGGGTTTTTTTAATGCTCCGATACCAACTTAATCTTTGTGAAGAAACAAATATTATATTTCTTCTTTGTTTGAATCATCTACGGTGTCTTATATATTAGGAGTAAGGCTCGGAAATGTCAATGTTGATGGAAATGTCGAAGTCCCGATTTTACGGAAATGTTGATGTCGATAGATATTTCAGAAAAAATCATAAAAATTGATGGAAATTGTTTAAATTAGTAAATGAAACTTTAATTATAGCTTAATTAGACTATAATTGATCAGTTTTAACCCAAATGTGTAAACATATGATTACTTATGAAAATGTCGATGTAAATGTCGGAATAAGATAATGAAGATTGATGAAAATTATTCGAATTAGTAAATTAAAGTTGCTTAATTATGTTTTATTGATAATTTATAATCAAATACAGTCTTTAGTTATGTTTTTTTGACAATTATTTATGATTGTATCTAAAATATGAGTAATATTGATATATAAATATCAATAAAATGATTGAAATGTTTTTTTTTTCTTAATTCAAATAATATTAGCAATTATTAAAAAAATATGTAAATATAAATAAAATTATTGAAAGCTTTTCTTTGGTTTCAAAAGTTTTAAATTAAAAATTTGATAGCAAATTATATATATTAAAGAAGATAAATTTGAAATAAAAGAAAAGAAAATATATATAATTGTAATATTATTTATAATAACTAATGAGCAGTGTCCAGTGTGAAATGTGAGAGAAGGGAGAAGAAAGATGCTGGGAGGAGGGAGAGGTACTTTGAAGTTTTATATAAAACTTGGGGAACTATCCCACAATGAGGTTCTGAAATAGAGAGGTAATGATTTGCCATTATAATTTTCTTTTTATCGGTGATGGGAGGTCGACATGTCGTTGATACAGGGGAAATCAAAATTCCTCCTGTACAGACATGTCAAACGACATGTCAGCATGTCATTGGATATTTTAGACTATGATTAGGAAATAGACCATCCAGTGACCTGAAAAAAAAAACCTAAAATCATAACTAGTACTAATACACACCTAATATTTACAAAGGAATAAATATAAAGGAAATCCCACACTTGTGTTATTAGAAAAGTTACAATTTTTTCTTCATGCTTGTAAATTCTGTCAGCAGTTTATGTTTAACCGTAGTGATCTTCCTTCTTCTTTAAGTTCTACTTTCCTTGTATCTTTATATTTAATTTTTGGGTACATTGTATTTGAAATCAGGTTGAACAAGGAGCCTCCTAATCTATCCTTCAGGAGAAAGGACAAGGGTGGGATTAATTTGACGTCAACTGTAGCTAATACCCATCTGGACCTTGACACGGTGAAGGCAATCTGTAGTGAATACAGAATCCATAATGCTGATATCACTCTTAAATATGACGCAACAGCTGATGACCTCATAGACGTGATTGAGGGTAGTAGAATATACATGCCTTGTATTTACGCTGTTAACAAAATTGATCAGATTACCCTAGAGGAGCTGGAGATTCTGGATAGACTTCCTCACTACTGCCCAGTGAGGTAAGTTTTACATCTATGCAACTTTATATGACTTTCTTATTCTCGCTTTGCAAGTCTGTTTCCACTTCTACACGATATTGTGTCTACTGTCTACTTTGGCTTATTTTCATTGTTTCAGTGCCAGGTGTAAACTATTAGTCAGGCTTAATATCATTTTTACTTTTAGCATAGCGGTTGTACGTGTTAATCTTCCCTTGCAAATTACGATCTATCGTTTTAATATTTATATCATTAAAATGAAGATCTGAATTCTGATGCACGCAGTTGAGCATGTATCATTGTCTCACATCTCTTTTCAATTTCATCTTTTTGCTCCTTGGACTTCATCTATATGTGTTATTCAAGTTTCTTCTCGATTAAAGCATGTGAATAAAGTTTGTTTGTTACCGGGAATTATAGCATAACAAATACGCATATACTGTAAATATCATTGTTAAATTATGTCTTATGCCTTTCTTATCAGCTTGTTCTCTTTGAAGTCTGCATAATGGTGTTAATATTTTTACCCCATGCGATTGCATCGTTAATGTCATGTGACTGACAGTATATTGTTTTGTTTTTTCTTAAAAGGTTTAGTGAACCAATCGAGGTTCATTTTCTTTAAACTTCTCTCGACAACTTATTCATATTGTTCCTCTTTGTCAGTGCTCATCTTGAATGGAACCTAGATGGTTTACTGGATAAGGTATGGGAGTATCTTGATTTAACTCGCATCTACACGAAGCCCAAAGGAATGAATCCAGATTATGAAGACCCTGTAATATTGTCATCTAAGAGAAGGACTGTTGAGGATTTTTGCAGCCGTATCCACAAAGACATGCTGAAGCAGTTTAAGTAGTGAGTAACATTGATACAATTCCTAACTTACGGTGTTGTTTGGATGACTTTTCCAATTGTTTTGTAAACCTAATTCTTTAGAACTGTTTTCTATTGCTTTTCAAGTTAAGTTACAAACTTTTAAGTTTAGTCTTGGACTTTGACAGTTGTGATTATTTAGTCTTTTAATCTCTAAAAAATTTTAGTTACTTACAGTTCCGTGAAAGACGGAAGTAATTTTCTTTTGGAATTTTTATCTTTTTTAATGATAAGGTGCTTTCTTTCCATGCTTCTGAGTTTAAGAATTTATGGTTTCATATTCTTTTGGTTTTCATTCTGCATAAACTAACTTTTGCTAATTCGTACAGTGCTTTGGTTTGGGGATCAAGTGTCAAGCACAAGCCCCAACGAGTGGGAAAGGTCAGTCCATTTCCTTTATGTTCTGCTGCTATTTGTATCATTCATACAAGAGAATTGAGAGAATGGTTCTTTTGGACACAGGAACATGAGCTTGAAGATGAAGATGTTGTCCAGATCATTAAAAAGGTGTGATCGTTGAAGTAAAAAATGTTTGTAATCTTTTCCAGCCTACAGGAAATCCTTAGATGCGAATGGCCTATTTACGAACACACGAGCGAAGCTTTCCATGATGGCATATCACATCCAAAGCTTTTGGTTAGGATACGGGGTGCTTTAGTTCAAGTACTACCTTCAGTTGGAGCATTGGACATTCAGTAGGAACTGAGCTTGACATGTAAGTTGCGTCGTTTTGTTGTCGAGCTAAGAACAGTTCATTTTGCTTTATATATATTTTTTCGTTCAAGAGATTATAACTGATTGAGTGTTCAACTGAATGTTGTTAGATTGCACATTTATGTTCCAGTAATAGTAAGCTGTACAACACCGCGTCGCAGTGTTACAAGAGTTAGAGCAGTTAGTACTGCTACTTCGTCCATAATAACCTCCTACTTTTCGGACATTTGCTGGGTTTTGATTTTGTTGATTTTGTTAGGAGAAACTGGGATTTCATTGATGAATGAAATATATAAAGCTTGGGAAAGCATTAGGTAGGGACCCCACATCATTCCATCATCAATTTTCTTTTCACGTCTCCATTCTCTAAACTAGCTCAACGATAATTGATATCTGTCTTTGATCAAGAAGTTTCAAATTCTCTCATTCTCACTTGTTGTACTGAACTATTACCCGTTTGGCACATCCTCTCATGTACAATGTTGTTCAGCTTTGGGATGAAATGCCAAGGGGCGGCCTTGGATAAGCTTTTATATATATAGGCCGAGCTTTTATATATATGCCAAACAGGGATGAACCTCCAAATCATTTGGCTAAAATGCTAGCAAGAACAGATGCAACATCACAAATTATATGGTGTGTTTGTTGCCTCTAGAAAATTTGTCAACAGTGAAAACAGCCCCATTGTCGTCTCTATCACCACACGTACATTCTAAACGTTTTATTTCTCTAAAAGATGTTCCCTATCGTGTGAATCGAACGCGAACCGCACGATCATGAAAAAGAGATGCAAACATGAAAAATGAGGTAAAAAATAGGAAACGAGGCTGCTGGCCATGAACACCATTATGTGTAGGGTTCCATTATTCCTTCAACTACTTTTCCTTCCGTTGGTAGCAGAGAGATTGCCATGACCGTGACAATTTTGTTATTTTTTCAACAGGTTTTTTTTTTATTCTTCTAACATTTTCTATATTAATTGATAAATAAGCCAAAACAATATGCATCTGACCTTATATTTTTTTTTTCCTTTTTAATATAAAATATTAACATAGTAGTCTTTGCGTATGCCCCATTAGTTTAATAAACGGTTTTCTAACCAAATTACATGAAGATTACATATATCCTATTCGATAACTATTTTGTTTTTGGGTTTTCTATTTTTAAAAATTAAGCTTATAAGGATAAAGTAGTTTTAAAAAACTTGTTTTCTTCYATCCTTTATGAAATTTGACTAAGAATTTAAATATGTTTTCGAGAGAGGGGAAAAACTTACTAATAAAACAAAACAAACATAATTTTTAAAAATAAAAGAACAAAAATATAATAGTTATCAAACTGTACCTACATAATTTAAGCAAGTTTAGAACTTTTGTTGATTAAATTATTAGTCTAGGATTCTAATTGACTCGAACCTAAGGTATAAATAGATTTTTTCCCTCCCTTTCGTCTATTAAAAATGTATGCCCAAAAAAATTTCTGGAAATGAAGCTTCTAATTCAGATCTCAAGTAACAAGGAGCAAAACATAAAGAAGAACTAGATTATTTATCTGAATTCAACTAAAGAAGTTACTTATGTTCTTATGGTAAACTTACAAACCAAATATGATGAAATTAAAATATGAGAGAACATCACATCATTAATTAAAGATTGGTGTATTTGAGTTTGAGATCTTCATGCTTTCACACAACAGTTGAAGTAGCTTAGTATGCTCTTTCTTGTCTGCCAACCCAAAAAATAAATAAAAAAAGTGTTAATTGTAGGGTAAACTTTCCAATAAATATCCTCAAAATATTGTCATAAGAAAATATATTGGCATTCTCAACATCAATATCATTAATTTCAAGTTATGCTCTTATTTTAAGTATCATTATAATTATTTTTTCAAATTTAGTTTGGTCAATATACAATTGAGGCATTATTAAGTTTAAGGTGATAACTTTACATAAATGAGAATATCTACTCATTAATCGACATCTTTCATCTAACGGTGCATTATAGAAAGGAAAATACTTAGATCCCGACTAATGATGGTCTATTTTGTGCCCACGACCATTAAATGTTTGACAAATAAGAGAGATATATGTAAAAGTATTTTTTTTCTTTAATAATGAGCGGTCAATTTTTGAGTCGAATCTTAATTTTTTAAAGTTTTGTCACATGCAGCAAATCGTCTCTTACATGTGGGAGAGTTATCTATTTTAAAAGGCAGCCTCCAACTACTTCGACAAGGTAAGAGACAACCTTATTTCGCCCAAATAAAAACAAAACACTATTTTTTTAAGTGAGGTTCAAAATAATTATATTTAAATAATTAGTTAGTCAATTTTTTTAATATTATAAAAATGTCCTAACATCTTATGTCTATTTTTTTCGGTTATTTTTTTGAGTTCTAGCTAACAATATGGATGAAAACTTAAAAAAATTTAAAAAAAAGGAAGAAGAAAATAGAAAAGATGATTTCGTTTCTAAGAGACAATTTTCATCAATTAAAAAAGGATTATCAAACCATATAAAAGTCCCATAAACGATTTATCCAAAATCATCTTTCTAAAAGATTTTTATGGAAAAATCGTTTTATAAATGATAGTTGTCTACTTAAAGTTTTCTTAACTAGGACCATTAATATTAAATTTAGAATTATTTGACTATTTGATTTAATTTTTTTTTAAAATTTTAAATTTTAGAGATTGAGAAACAAGAAATTATTACCAAGCATGTTTATGTTTTTTTTT